GCATTTTCTGCGGTGGAGTGGAAAGATTAAGATGGTTGAAAATGAACCGGTTCTTATATAGTCTCATTACAGGCTAAAGCAGGTTCTTTCCCTCAAATGGCAGAACCAAAGAAAACTTCTCAGAATATTCTTGCCAAATGAATAATGCTATTTTTTTAGTAGGTGCTGAGAAGGGGCAGAAACAGAAAATTAAGAAGCAGCCTCCTCCTTGGGACTTCCCTAAAATATTACTTCTCCTTTTCCTTGTGTCTGTTGCACCACATGCCTGTAATTAAGCATTTCCCCCAACTATCCCATTTGCTGACATAAAGAATCTTGCCACACACATTCTGCCAGCAACGTAAACCCATTTAACCACCACACTCATTTTCAAAAAAAAAAAAGTCCTTCCCACAACCGCTGTCACGAGCTGGAGCTGGAGCAGCCTTCTCCAAATCTCATGCCTGCCACTGTGTAGAACTGCACCTCCCAGAGGTGCAGTGGATTATGTTCATGCTGTAATGAGATGATTGCTAAAAAATAAAAGATAACTTGTAATTTAAAAAAACCCTGCTCCTCCCAGAGTCGTCCAGACAGCCATATCTAGCGTTCACCAGGTTGTGGAGGGCTGAAGGAGTCTGCTTCCGGATGGCATGGTGCAGCAATTCTCTCTTTGCTTTCCTGAATGGGCTTGTTGTGGCAACAAAACAGAAGCAAGAAGTGGCGAGAAAACAAGGGAAGTTTTGCCATGGAGGAAGATTCAGCTGGATCTTCTGTAAATTTTGTGTTTGGGGCAGGCAACTTCCCTGTAGCTGCCTCACCTGGAAGCATCTCCAGCCTTGGGCCTTCGTGCCTGAAGCTGCAGTGCTGAACAGGCTTCTTGCCTGAGATTGCCTGGGAGATCGGTGAGATTTGCTTCAAGGGAGACACACCTAGGATTTCACTAATGGTCATTTCCAGGTTGGATTACTGTATCCTGCCCTCTGGGCATGAGCCAGAGTCGTGTAGTAGTTGGAGTGCTGCACTGGGGACCTGGGAGATCCGGGCTCTGGACCCCACTCAGCCATGATGGTCAACTGGGCCATTCATGGACTCGCAGCCTAACTTACCTCACAAGATTGTGAGGATAAAATGTGGAGGAAGAGGATTATGCAAGCTGCCCTGGTTTCCTTGCAAGTGGGAAAAATCTGGAATATACATGTAATCATAAATAACAATAAATACTAAAATGGAGAGCTGCCCTGGAAGTCAATTCATTGGTTCACAATGTGGAAGCAAGATTTGTGTTTGGGATTGTCAGGATGGGCTGTGCAGGGACAATTTTGTTCCAGCTGCATTGGTTTCCCATTTGCTTCTGGTGCTGGCATCAGTCCTGAAAATCCTAAATGGCCTGGCACCAGCATCGTTCAGGAATTGGCTCCTTCTAGATGAATGTGCTCAAGACCTGTGCTCAGTTTCTGAGATTCTCTCCTGAAATGTAACTGGCAAAAGCAAGAGACAGAGCCTTCAGCATGGTAGCACCAAAACATAGCATAATCCGAGATAGGTTCACTAAGCCCCCACTTTTCCCCATTTTTAATCAGGCCCTCAGGACTATTTTCTTCCTGCAACCATGTTTTGCTGCTTAGGATTTGAATTTTTCTTTATTTTTTTCTTTATTAGATTTTTATCCTGCATCATTCACCAGAAAACTCCCTGAGCAGGATAACATTTTAAGTCTGCTACTGCTATGCTTTTTATGACAATGTTTCTAATGCGGGTGCATGTTTTTAATTGCTGTTCAGTTCATTGGTAGATCTATTTTAATATTCTCATAGTTAATATTTTTATAGTAAGCTGCCTCAACTCTGACTTTATCATAGCAAGGCAGAATGTAAATGGCCAAACTGGAAAAAAAATGAAAAGATTCCGTTATAGGAAAAGATGTAACGAACTCCACACATTTTGCCCTTGCTTGTTGCTGTAAAGCCCCTTAGAATTTCCCCCAGCAGTGCTTCTGCTTTGGTTTGGGGCAGTCCTTTTCAGCCTATGAGGACGGGATTTTGGTTCCTCCATAGCCAGTTTAGTTCTTGTGGTCAGGGAATTTCCTGTATTCCCTTTGGGTATTCTGCTAATTGGGCATTCCATTTATCTAATGTTGTGTATTGCCGTTGTTGTTTTTAAACATCCTGGATCTCATTAGCCTGAAGGAATACGTTTGGTTTAATTTCACTGCCCCTTGTAATAACAGGCCACCATCCAGGGTTCTGTACACACAGCCTTTTCTGTTCCCTTCTCTAGGAAGGACAGACTGTTCACCCACATGGGGAGTTTTCACTGGCACACCTTGCACTCCGCTGAATGAGGGCAACAGAGGAGGACCCCAGGTGCACATGGCTCTCCAGTTAGGCTGAGCCAACTGATCCCAGCAACAGGCTTTTGTTCATTCCTTTCCCAGATGTGAAGCTGGGGGCACAGAGGGAATCAGGATCAAGCCAAAGCTGCAGCCACACCCTGAATCCAGGGATTACCTGAGTTGCCCCCATCCCATCTCATTCCAGCCCAGCAGTTCCTGACAAACACAGGATCCTCGGATGCTATCAGGTTTAGGGTCTGTCAGGGCCTCACAACACACAGTGCTAATGCCATGACAATATGGACAAAGCCCCTGCTGTGCATTTTTAAAATTAAATGCCAGGCACTGCTTACAGGAGGGGTGCGATCGCTATCGCAATGCAGAGCATGGGGAGAGGGGGTTTAGGTCGCCCATCCTTAGCTACAGTCTCCGTGAATTCCACCCCACCACTTAGCGTTAGGGGAGTGACACCTCCCACTGGTGCCAATGTGCGTGCCCCCCCATGCAAATTACCATTCAAGGAGGGCAATTTGCACAACCATTGTTGCTAAGAAAGGAAGTGATCTTGACCCACACCTGATTCTCCCTCTTCCATGCACGTGGGCAGAGGGGACAAGGTGAGATTAATAATTGCATTGCCGATGTTACTTGTAGTTCAGCCCTCAGGTTAATCCCTCTGTTCACAGGGAATACTGTAGCTCTGTTCAGTTTCATCCTGGATCATTGTAGATTTCCTGGGAATAACCACTTGTGTCCCATTTAAATCAAGTTCAAATTGCTCCCATCACCATGTTTCTGTTTGGCCATCAGTCACCAAGGGAAGTGATGCTGATCCCCACTGAATCATAGCGTAGTAGAATTGGAAGGAGCCGTGAAGGCCATCAGGTCCAACCTCCCGCTGTTGCAGGACACCACATTACACCATCCCATGCAGATGACGCTCCCGTTTCTTTTTTAATGCCTCTAGTGTGTGAGAGCCCACGACCTCTCTAGGCAGCTGGTCCCACTGTTGTGTTGCTCTGACAGTGAGGAAACTTTTCCTGATATCTAGCCTGAATTTGAGCTGTCACAATTTGAGTTTGTCCAACACTCTGGTATCAGCGAGAAGCGATCTTGCCCATCTTCTCTGTGACAGTCTTTGAGGTATGTATAGAGGGATATCATCTCCCCGCTCAGACTTCTCTTTTCAAGGCTGAACATGCCCAGTTCTCTCAGTCTGTCCTCACAGGGCAGTGTTTCCAAACCCTGGATCATTTTTGTTGCCCTCCACTGGAAGGGCAACAATAAACATTCTGCATTTTTCTTAAATCTTGGTGCCCAGAACTGGACACTATGTTTTCAAATGGCAACCCGTCTTTTAATGAAGCCCATGGGGAAGTGATGGGGAATGTGCCTGTGATTATCAGGAAGCTTTCCATGGATCCCTCCTTTAAAAACTAGGTGCGTCTTATGGTCAGGTCGTCTTACAGAGCGAAAAATACGGCAATACTTCTATTAATGTATCCCAAAATAGCATTTGTCCTTTTTGTGGCTGCATCACATTGTTGGCTTATATTTAGCCTGTTGTCCACAATTACTCCGAGGTCTTTTTGTTTTTCAGTTCTGTTGAACCACACATTCTCCATCTTGTATCGATGCATTTGGTTTCTTTTTTCTAGGTGGAAGACTTGGCACTTGTCCCTATTGAATCCCGTTCTGTTGCTTTCAGCCCAGTGTTCAATTTTTTCCAGATCACCCTGGATCTTCATTCTAGGATGTTTTCTATTCTACCCAGTTTTGTCTCATCTGCAGATTTGATTATCGTTCCTCATACTTCATCATCTAAATCATTAATAACGATTTTGAAGAGCACTGGGCCCAGGACTGAACTCTGCGGCACCCCACTTGCAACTTCCCTCCAGTGTTAGAAGGTGCCATCGATGAGCACTCTATTTAGTGAGTGTCCTATTTAGCAGCCAATTTTGGAGCCACCTAATAGATTTTTTTAATCTAGTCCACTTTATTTTTATTTATTTTCGATTTATATCCTGCCTTTTTCCTACAAAGGGCTCAAGGAGGCTTACATCATTCTCCTCCTCCATCTTATCCCCACAACAACAACCCTGTGAGGTAGGTTGGGCTGAGAGTCTGTGACTGGCCCAAAGTGCTAATTTGCAAAGTGGAAATTTATGCTAATTTGTTTCTCAGAATGTCATGGGGCACTGAGATCCAGTGCCAGGAATTGTTCCGAGTTATCATCCTGTAACTATTCTGCATGCAGGATGTGCTGGCAAGGCAGGGAGTGGCTGGTCATGGCATCCCTGAGTTCACAGTGGCAACACACATGATGCTGAAGAAAGGAAAAATCCACATCCAGACTCATATTTTGGGGGGCAGTAGCTGATAAAAATGAAATGGGTGTGGGTTTCACACAAGCATTAACATATCTAAACTTCGTATTAAATAGGTACAGTTTTAAATGGCTGGTTTAAATGGATTTTTGCCATTGAATGCTCACAGAGGATAAATGCCACTCTATTTCAAACATTGCACAGCAGTGACTGATGGTGATTCTATTTAAATAAACGCTCCAGCCCAGTGGCTGTTTCACATGCCCAGTTAAGAACAGTCAGTTCTGCTTTCCACTTCACTTTAAATAGCATTGTTCTTCAGCCAAACATATAGACAACATTATTTATATACATACCTTCTTCACTAAGTATCCCTCCCTTATTCGCCTGGGTTCTCGCTCAAGCCCTTGTTCCATCCTTGTATCGATCTTTAGCTCCCACGGAATCCAAATGCATCTGACAATGAAAGGGCTTTGCAAGATGCATTTATACCGTTGTTACTTTCACAAGTTCCTGTGATGATCAATCACATGAAAACATTCTCATTTCCCCTTCCGCAAAAAGGAAACAAGGAACCCCAGTGCAAATGTTAAGTTAAGAACTTTTTGATTTTTTAAAAAAAGCATATGTCTATTTAAAAAATAAAAAGAACAACAACAATATTATCTACTATGAGCCACCAGGACAAGACAGGGCATACAATAGAAATAAAGAAATAACAGCTAATTCAAATGTTTACATTTCTCTTGTTAAATAAAATTCAGTTAACGAGTAAGTAATGCATGGAAACACACATTTTAAGAAGTGCCCTTGTGTTGTTGCAGCTTGCTGAAGGGTTTTTGATCCAAACAATAGCTAAAAAAAAAAAAAAACAGAAAGGAACCTTATTATGAGGTGACCTTACCATGGATTAATTGCAGCAGGACCATTTCACAGATTTGAATATGGAGTCCAAGACCAGCTGAATGTACCTGGCTGCCTGAGGTGAAGTGCAAGCTGGTGCCCCCTCCCATTCCATATACCAAAAATAGCTGGATGACGGTGGACACTTTCCTCAGCACTGGCCATGGGATGGGGTCCTCCACTGCACCTGAAAGCAGCCAGCTAATTTAGGGGGTGCAGCAAAGGATGTGTGGCATGCAGCTCTCTCTTCCAGTGCCTTGCTGCCCCCTCCCTGCATCTGCCACCTGAGGCAACCACCTCACTCTGTCCAGGAATTGGACCATCCCTAGATGAGCCCACTGCTTGTCTGAGTTTTGAGACTGGGCTCTTCGGTTGATCTGTACATCCACTCTGGGTGGCAACACTGAGGAGCTGGTCCTTCTCAGTGACAGCCCCCACATTTTCCAAAAAGATAGAATTTTTGGTGGATGTCTTTTTAATTGTTTTTCCCCTTCAGTGCATTCTTAAAATAAAATAATTTTACCTTACCTTCTTTGGCATGCAAATATGGGTGATTGCAATGCTGTTAACCTGGCAGTCTGACCAGTTCTTAAAAGGTAAAGGTAAAGGTTTCCCCTTGACATTAAGTCCAGTCATGCCTGACTCTAGGGGGTGATGCTCATCTCCGTTTCCTAGCCGAGGGAGCCAGCGTTTGTCCGCAGTCAGTCTCCGTGGTCATGTGGCCGGCATGACTAAACGCCGAAGTGCACGGAACGCTGTTACCTGCCCACCGAAGTGGTACCTTTTTATCTGCTTGCATCTGCATGCTTTCAAACTGCAAGGTTTGGCAGGAGCTGGGACGGAGCAACGGGAACTCACCCCGTTGTGCAGATTCGAACTGACAACCTTTCGATCAACCAACCCAGCAGCACAGCGGTTTAAACCACTGTGCCACCTGCAGTCCCCACTGATCACCAAAACAATAGCCCTGGCAGCTTCTTGGGGAAGCCATCAGATCCCACTTCTTAAAGTAAGAGCAAATGCTAAACAGTAACCTGGCTTGGAATTGGGGTGCTTTCTGAGAAAGGAATGCAGATTTGATTTTCTAACACAACGGCACACATAAGCATGTTTTTCTGCCAGAATTTATCTGAATTTTCCCAACATCACAAACACAGTCCAACAAATGCCTGCTTTAGAATGGCACTCACGTCTTGTCTTACACTTTCTTAACAAGTGTACTTACTGCAGTACCTGGAAGGAAGGCGGAATGTTCCCAGTTCCTATAGACGCTGGATGTCTCCAGCTGAGAGTGTTAGAACAGTGGCCCAGAGTGATGCGCAGGATTTTGGGGGGGGGGGGGGGATCCAAGCAACAAGGTCCACTCACAGACTGAGTTTTCTGGCTGCTTCTTCCATCTTTTCACTTAGCAGAGACAACTCTCAAGAAAGAAGAGGCAGGATAGCTGCATGATGCCTCCTCATTGTTCATGCCAGGAGCCTTCCATCTGGTAGACTCCAAAATATCTGACATTTGAGTCTGGCAGGGAAAAAAATCAATCTTTCCACAGTGAAAACATGACTTAGAGTTGAGCAGCTTTTCCCCAACCAGTTCTTGGATTGCAATTCCCATAATTCCCACCAAGCATGGATACCAGGTTGGCATGGGAAGCCTGATCTAGAGAAAATCTGTCAGGATGCCCTACAACATCCATGTGATGAGAGTGCTAGGTTAGGTTGAAAACAGCACCCTCAGCAAGCCCACCAAGCTCTGCCTTGCTTAGTTATAATAGAGGCTGCTTATCGGGGAAAACTTTTTAAAGGCAAACCATGTTGTCTTGTTTATGCATGTGTACTGTAATGTTCTCTGTATGACAAGCATTATGGGTAATCAAATCATTGCCCGTAATCAAATTGAAGCCTTCAGTAATCTGGTTTGCATGAGATGCCAACCCATTGTGGATAATTAGCCACTGGGTGTCACATCATTGTAGTTTTTTCCAACAAGCCCCGCTGTCCCAGGGATGTTCTAGGGGTTATTTTACCTAGAGTGGGTTGTCATGTCATCTGAACTTGCATGACTGTGGGTAAAGAAAATCAGCAAGTGAGATTCTTGGTGTCAGGAGGAGCAAGTTATCCTTGCTGCTTTTGGTGCTCTTGCCCATGCCGCCTCCAGCGGCAGCCCCTCTGAAGTGCCCAAGTGGCTCATGGGAGGAGCTGTCAGTGGCTGTCAAAGTGTACCAGGTACCAACCCTGGATAAAGAGGCTCCCACTAAGATTTTTTTAAAACTTTGCCTTGACATAACAGCTTTGCTCATAGAAACACAGCAAGTCAGAAGAGGTCTCCCGTGCCATCTGGTCTGAACCCCGGCTCCAGCCAGCTCCGTTCACGACATGCCCACCATGAAAGGAAATAGGTGACTCTCTCCACCACTCACATGCACTTTGCAGTGAGATCTTCCAAGGTTTTGACAGCTTCCCAGAAGTCCCCGTGCTCCTGTTTCCACTCATTCCTAAAACTATGCTGTAGAAGGTGGAAAAGTGTGCCCTTGCTGACAGTTGAGTTGTTTTTGATAGCTCACAGTAGGTCCTTAAAAAGGGGGGGGGGGGACAAGACAGGGTGATTATGGGCAGGAAATTATACAGATTTCATGTGTGTGTGGCAGGTGGGGCAAGTTTATCACTCACTCCAAATAAAGTTTTTTGCAGTTCATGATGCTTCCTGAATATAACATTTTTCTGCATTTCCTGGAATCTTCTACTACCCTGTATAAGCTCCTGAATGTCAAAGAGCACACACAAAAGAAGGGCCCATGTGTATTGTAGCAATACACACTGTGCTTGTAAACTGTAGCCACAAGTGCTGTGCAGCTTTGCCCCACCTCTGGAAAAATTCCTGTGTTTACTCAGGACTGTTAGGGCCGGAAGCAGGCCTTTGAGCTGGCAGTGCACCTTCTAGGAAAGAGAAGAAACTTTGGGTTAGTAGAATTATAGTTCTGATTAGGGTATCCTTTGAAGTGATGGCGATGCTAAAGACCAAGCAAGATTGATGGAGCCCAGAGGCAGAGTTATTATTTGATCTCATCCCTGTTGTACTACAGAGATGCATGTTAGCAAGAGATAACTTTATTTTGCCTCATCTGGAAGTTTCCACTCAAGCAGCAGTCATTAAAGGCCCTTCAGAATTCATTTACATTTCATCGAGGGTGGTTGTCATGCTGGGACACCTCCTTCTGGCATGTCGCTCACAGTGTATCTGCATCAAGCGAGCATTGCTAAAAATGCATTACAGGGCATAGTCTGACATTTCTTTCCTTTCTTTTTAACATGGATGTTCATATTGAAAGGACAAGTGCAAGCAACAAAGAGGAAGAACTCCACATATAACGAGAAGGTTGCTAAAATAAGAGCCATTAAAATCAACAGGATCGCAACCCACAATCCACTTTCCTGGGAGTAAGCTCCAGGGAACTCAGTGGGACTTAATTCTGAATAGGCCTGCATAGCATTTCAGTGTAAGAGAAACTCTAAATTGCACTATTTACGTATATTGCAATTATGTGTGCCTACCCAGAAATAAGGGATGCAGAGGACGCAGTGGTTTAAACCACTGTGCTGCTGGGCTGGGTGATTGAAAGGTCACCGGTTTGAATCTGCACAACGGGTTGAGTTCCTGTTGCTCCATCCCAGCTCCTGCCAATCTTGCAGTTTGAAAGCATGCAAATGCAAGCAGATAAAAAGGTACCACTTCGGTGGGCAGGTAGCAGCATTCTGTGCACCTCGGTGTTTAGTCATGCCGGCCACATGACCACGGAGACTGTCTGCGGACAAATGCTGGCTCCCTCGGCTAGGAAATGGAGATGAGCACCACCCCCAGAGTCAGGCATGACTGGAAGTAACATCAAGGGGAAAACCTTTACCTTTACCTTACCCAGAAATAAGTTTCATTGTTTTCAATGAAGGGTATTCCCCTGTAAATGTGTAATAGGATTGTAGCCTTAAAACATTTTGCTTGCTTATGGAACAGTTAGATAAGACAGGCTAAGGAGAAATATCTAACTGCTGACAGATTTGGGGTACATAAGTTACTTAGCTAAAAATCTATGTGCATTTGTAAAGAGAAACCATGGCCATTCTTAAATTGTTGTTTCTTTCTATTTGTTGCTGTTATGTTCTGTCAAGTTGTCTCCAGCTCATGAATGAATGCCCTCCAAAATATCAGCCCTGCTCAGCTCTTGCAATATGTTCTATGATTATCCAAGGAGAAAGTAAGAAAAACAGAATAAAATGACACATTTCAGAGAGTTAATAGAATTCAGTATGAACCCATGATTTCGGTTCCACCAAACTATGCAGAGGTGCATTACATAAACAGTAGATTCTTTTTTGTATTTGTGTTTGAAATTGGAGAAATAATTAACACACATCATGCATAAAGCCAGAGATGCCTCTGAAGATTTTAATGCATCTGCTCATGCAGTTGGACAGGTAAGGCTAAAAAAAATGAAGATGATGACGATGACTGCGACTGGGCATTCAGTTCTCCAGGTGCACAAAGCTTCTGGGATTGCAGGA